TCAGCCTGTTGTCAATCATTGTTGTTAATGATGCTGCCTATTTAAATATGCATTGAATAAAACATTCAAATCATGTTATTTATAACTCGTGCATTTCCTTCCACACGTTTCCCTGATCTGAGATGTAAAGTGTAATCTACACTGGGCAGACAATTACAGCTTGGTGAAACAAAGGGATAGAAAAGCAGAGGGAAATCACTTTAAATCATAAAATGACAAAAAGAATGTGGAGATGGGATTGTGGGACTGTGATTTTTTTGTGTGCAGTTAGTTTTGTTATTTTGTTTTTTCAAATCTCAGGATTAAGAAGTTCCAGTTTTTTCAGAAATTGGAGAGAAGCAAGACATGTGAGATCTAGTCAAGGAAGAGTGATATGTGTAATGATCAATAATCCTGAGATGTGTTGAAAAGCAGAAGATAGTGTAAATTTATATTTTTGCAGATGTTAAAGAAGATAATTTATTGAAATGGACAGCAACAAGGACGTTTCTACTCTGCTTTTCCTTCAATTAATATGTAGCATAAGGACAATGTAGTAAGTTTAGAAACTACCATTTTCTATTTAAAAGAAATGGTAAAATCTAACTCGAGAAAAGGAAGTTAATAATTGAGTACGTTCTCGTAAATGAAGACTGAGGAAAGGTTATTTGTTGAATTGTTTACTTTTATATTAATTGTGTGCTTTATTGCTGGGTTTGTCTGCCATGTATGTATTTTACCAATAGTAATACACATATGTGGTCAATTGTTTTACTTTGTGTTAGCATGAAATACAAGAGAGAAAAGCAATATAAAAAGTCTAAAAGATTTTAAGCATGCCAAGACAAAGCTTTGCTTTTGTTGTAACTTTTTTTTTTAATTCCCTTGCTTTACAAACACTTGCAATTCAATAATACAACAAAACCTAACTCCTCTCTCATTTTCCATATCTCTTCTCTGAAGGCTTATTTACACAGACAAGGACTCATCAATTATCTCCTATGTATAAAAGACTTAGAACACTCTTTCACAATATGCTTAGTACCAGATCATTAATTATCCTAAAACTATCTCTCACTGAACGTCCTTTCACAAATCAAGCTTAGTATGTCTTTGCTGCAAATATCAGTGGTTGCCTCGACATCATAAATTGAAAGTACTATTGTCCTCTTGCTTCTAAATATGAAATCAGTGAAAGTCTCTTTCTTATCTTTAAACTTAATCTTACTTTTTAAACTGACTAGGTGAAGTTGTCAAATCAAGATATTAAGAGTTCTTTGTTCATGCTGGTTCTCTTTTGTGTATCTTTGCTTAAATATTCTCATATCTTTAGGATTCTGTACATAATTTCTGTGTCTCTTCCCAAGCATTTTAATCTGGATTATTAAAACATCTTACTTTCCTTTACAAATTGTATATAAGTACTTTATGAATACATACTTGTTGAGTAGCACCACGTAAATATATAGGGTAAAATATAAAAGTAGGTATCATTTTCTGACTATGACAGAGTAGTTTGTATCGAGCCAATCTTCCCTTTAAGCACAGCTATGAAAGCAACATAAAATCACAACAGAAGGCTGTTTGAAATCTGAACACAGTAAAGAAAGGACTTCTGGAGGCAAGTTTGCAGAGATGAGGAAACCCAAAACAAGTGAGACAGTTATTTTAAACAGCTTTTGTTCATCAAGGCCTGTGTCTAATCCTGAACAGTGGAGAGTCATGAGTCCCAGACACAGAACAGAATGAAGGTACAGAGGCTGAAATTCTAAGGAGTGCTTCTGGTCTCAGAGCTGGGACACAAACAGGGAATTCATGGCCTGGAGGGAAACTTGGAGTAGATCCCCCACTTTCATCTGAAGCTCCTGAAGACTTATGCCTTACAAGTAAGGGCCGAAAGTTTGGACTCTCATCTCATTTTCTGACAGAGTCAAGAGGCTCTGCCTCAATTCTAGTTGAAGGCCAGAAGAGAAGTAATCTCTGAGGGAGACATCCATCTTTTGGAGGCCCTATATATTTTTATATGATTTCCCACCATTTAATAAAATTTTTCAAGTATATCAAGAAAAATTACCAAAAACCAAGAGAAAAGGTAGAGCCATAGGCCACAGATTATTCAGATATTGGAGGGATAAAATATAACTGAACTCAATATGTTGACAAAAATAAATGATACATTGTGGAATTTCACCAAAGGACTGGGATCTATAAAACCAAGTCAAACTCAAATTCTATGACTGAAATACATAATTTTTAAGAGCACAGTAGATGGATTCACCAAACATTTGGTCAAAGCTGAAAAGAGGTTTTGTTTTTGTTTTTTAATTGTCATACAACTCAATAGAAACATCTGGAATTAAGCACTGGTACAAAACAAAATTGTAAAAATGAAGAAAAAGCAAGATGGAGATATATAGTTCACTGAGAAAAGTTCTAGTGGTGGAAATATAGTCCCAGAAAGAGAGGAGAGAGAGTCTCAAATAGAAATAATATAGATTAGGGGCACCTGGTTGGCTCAGGTGGTTGAGCATCCAACTCTTGGTTTTGGCTCAGGTCATGATCTCAGGGTCCTGAGATCAAGCCCCCATGTAGGTCTCCACGCTCAGTGTGAGGTCTGCTTGTCCCTCTCCCACTTAAATGAATAAAATCTTTTTTTTTTTTTTAAAGATTTTATTTATTTATTTGAGAGAGAGAGAATGAGAGAGAACACATGAGAGGGGATAGGGTCAGAGGGCAAAGCAGACTCCCTGCCGAGCAGGGAGCCCGATGCGGGACTCGATCCAGGGACTCCAGGATCATGACCTGAGCCGAAGGCAGTCGCTTAACCAACTGAGCCACCCAGGCGCCCAAATGAATAAAATCTTTTAAAAAAAGAAATAATATACATTAAAAGCATTAAATTGCTCATGTTTGGATCATAGCTCTCAAAATGTAAAATATAAAACTGTAAAACTTTTAGTAGAAATTATACAACATCTCTATGAACTGGGTTAAAATAAATGTTTTAAAACATGTTACCAGAAGCAGAGTCCATTAAAGAAGAAATTAATGAATTCTACTTCATGAAAACTTCAAGTCTTTGTTCTGCAAAAGACCTCTTAAGAGAATGAAAAGGCATACTACAGATTGGCAGAAAATATTTGCAAAGCACATTATCAACAAACAGTTCTGGCTGCATTTGATATGTGGGCCCAGTGCAAAATGAAAACACAGGTCTCTTGTTCAAAAAGCAGGAAAAAAGTTGCATTAAGTGTACTAAAATAAAACTTGTCCCCATCTTTCATGTTTTTTCTCTCAATCTTCATAGTATTTTTTAAAAGACTTTACTTTTTAAACCAAGTTTAAATTCATAGCAAAATTGAGGTGAAGGTACAGAGATTTTCCATATACTCCCTGTTCCCCCAAATGCATCCCCCCACTATTACCAGCACCCCCTACCAGAGTGGCACATTGTCTATAATCAGTGAACTTACAATGATACATCGTGATCACCAAAGTCCTTAGTTTACCTTACGGTTCACTCTTAGTTTTATATATTCTGTGGGTTTGAACAAATGTATAATGACATGTAGCCATTATTATTGTATTATATGGAGTATTTTCAGTGCCCCGAAAGTCCTCTGTGCTCCGTCTAGTCATCCCTTCATTCCCTCTCCAACTCCTGGTAACCACTGATATTTTTCCTGTCTCCATGATTTTGCCTTTATTCCAGAATGTCATATAGTTGGAATCATATAGTATGTAGCTTTATCAGATTGGATTCTTTCACTTAGTGATATGCACTGAAGGTATTTTCATAGCTTGATAGCTCATTTCTTTTTAGCACTGAATACATTTTATTCTCTGGATGTACCATAGTTTACTTATTTATCTATTTATCTACTGAAAGATATCTTGGTTGTGTCCAAGTTTGGGCGATTATGAACAGAGCTGCTATAAATATCCATGTGCAGATTTTTGTGTGGACATAAGTTTTCAACTCTTTTGGGTAGACTAAATGGCAAGAGTATATTTAGTTTTGTAAAAAACTGTCAAACTCTTCCAAAGTGGTTATCCCAGTTTGTATTTGCACCAGCAATGTATGAGAGTCCCGTCCCCATTGCTCCACATCCTCACCAGCATTTGCTGTTGTCAGTGTTCTGGATTCTGGCCATTCTAACAGGTGCATAGTGAGGTTTCATTGTTGTTTTAATTTGTATTTTCCTGATGACATATGACGTGCAGCTTCTTTTCATATGCTTATTTGTCATATGTGTATCTTCTTTTAAGGCCTTTGGCCCATTTTTAAATCAGATTGGGTTCTTACTGTTGAGTTTTAAGAGTTCTTTGTACATGCACCCACACACACATACACATATATTTACATTTATCCATATCCATATATGTGGGTGGATATACATAAAATTATGTATATTGGCTCTTTTATTACTTTTACTTATTTAAGCAGTAATTGGAAGATTGCATGTAAACAGTGGGATTACTGATAATTATCAGAATAAGTACTCAGGCTTATTTAGAAAAGGAATTTATGTTTTTGTATATTGTAGATAATAGTTATTTCTCATAATTATCTCTTGCAAATATTTTCTTCTAATCCGTAGCTTGTCTTTTCAATTTCCTGACGTGGTCTTTCACAAAGCAGGAGTTTTTAATTTTAATGAAGTCCCATTTATCAATTATTTCTTTCATAGATTGTGCCTTTGGTGTCATATCTAAAAATCATAAAGCAATTTTCATGTATATAAATGGACAGGGATGGCAGAGAGGAGTCTTCTTTTCCAGTTTTCTGGCAAGTGACACTTCTAATTCTCTTATCTATGGATGTTAAGTGGGGTAAACTTTTCTCCTTCTTGTGCTTAAAAAAAAAAATGTTCTCTTCAGCGCCTGTTGTCCTGGTTTAGCCACCTGGAGCACATTCTATTTGTAAAGGTTCCTCCAGGAGAATGGCCTGTTATTAAGTTGATACTCTTGTTTACCAAGGCTGGTCTGCATTCACATATTTTGTTTTGATTATTCATTAGCATTTCTAAGATGATGGAAAGGAAACTATGCTTCCATTAAATAACCACCCTCAGAAGGAAGGAAAAAGAAGCTGCCTGTCTTTGTGGAGGAAGGAGGTGGGCACTGATGGGGCTGATCAGGAAGCTGCTACTCCAGCAAGGTGAGGGGTCAGCAGCTTAACTGGAGAGAAATCCTTTGCATGTATGTATCCTTTATATGGCTGCGAAGTAAGATGAATGAGCATTAAAATGGGATGAGAATCCTCTGTGCTCCTCATATTTATCCCTGCCCCACCACATAGTGTTTTTATTTGTTATAATCTCTTGCTCCTTCAGGAACCTACATACTATAACCTGGCAGGGCAGGGCAGGGCAGGGAAGGCAGTCTCCACTTTTCACAAGGCCACCACCCCAACCTATGACAGAGGGCAACACCCAACAGATTGTAACCCTTCCTGGGTACTTGGATGAGGGATCACTGAATGTGCTATGGCACTAGGAGCCCAGAGCAGGGATGGTCACCAATATTCCCTAACCCAAGATAAATCAGGGTACACATGCCTAACCCTGACTTTGGCCCCCATCAAGAGTGAGGGAAAAATACATCCCTTCCCCAGCCAACACAAAATTGCTACTGTGGGCCGAGGGTGATGGCGGCTACAATGAGGAGTCAGAGAGGGGAAGGCAGGGCCTGGGCAATACAGAGTTGGGAGTGGACAACCAAGGACTCATTCTTGGGAGGCACAATGGTGACATCTAAGTCAAAGCGCTAAGCACCCACCTCTCTGACATATGCTTCATTTTCCTAATAGAGTTTACTCTATTGTGCCAAACACAAATCCAAGACATAATTAAGAATGTCAAGACAATGACCACAGAACATTAAACTCCAGAAACAGGTCCTTCTGAGTGCGAGGCCTCATGCAACCTCACAGGTTAAATGCCCTTGAAGCTGGACCTGCCAACAAAAGTCTTGTTTCCAGATATGTAAACTTATAGTGTGTGTATATTTTTATACTTTAATCTCTAAATTTCTTTTATAGAATGCTTTTGTGAGTATGATAAAAAAATTCAGGTTATGAAACTATTGTTAAAAAAATTTAAGAGCGATGAAAATTTTGTGAGTTTTGGTAATTACAACTGAACAATTGTTGAAAGTTAGCACAGCTTGTCCTTGGTGCTGCCCCACCCCCCCATCCTCTGCTACAGTGTGCTTATTTTATTTTCATGTTAGAAACAAAATATATTGGGCGCCTGGGTGGCTCAGTTGGTTAAGCGACTGCCTTCGGCTCAGGTCATGATCCTGGAGTCCCAGGATCGAGTCCCACATCGGGCTCCCTGCTCGGCAGGGAGTCTGCTTCTCCCTCTGATCCTCCCCCTCTCATACTCTCTGTCTCCCATTCTCTCTCTCAGATAAATAAAAGATCTTTAAAAAAAAAAAAAAGAAATGATAAGTATTGGGGCGCCTGGGTGGCTCATTTGGTTAAGCGACTGCCTTCGGCTCAGGTCATGATCCTGGAGTCCTGGGATGGAGTCCCGCATCGGGCTCCCTGCTCGGCAGGGAGCCTGCTTCTCCCTCCGACCCTCCACCCTCTCATGTGCTCTCTCTCTCTCATTCTCTCTGTCTCAAATAAATAAATAAAATCTAAAAAAAAAAAAGAAAGAAAGAAACAAAATATATTGATTTATGTCTAAGTTGCCTATTATTTGACATCCTTCTTACATAATTGACTACTCCACCTATCTGGTCTTCCACTTACGGTTGACCTCAAATCTATAGGATTTTTGACCAATAGGTTATATTTAGTTAAATTGAGTTTAATATTTTTTATTAGCCTGTAAATAGAGATGACATCTTTTACATTATATGTATATATATTCTGGAAACTCCAGCCAATAGACTTGAACAGACACTTCACCAAAGAAGTGTACATACAGCTTTTTATTTCTTTAATATTACATTCTTGAAAAGATAAAAGTAGTGACAAAGAACAGATCAGTAGTTGCCAGGAGTAACAAGAGTGTGACTACAAAGGGGTAACTAAAGGGAGTTTTGGGAGTGTGAGAGTGTTTTATATGCTGATTATAGCAGTGGTTACACAAATTTTCATAGGTGTTAAAATTAATAAAGTTTACACAAATGAATTTCACAAAGAGGTAATTCTAATAAAAACAGAAAGCTCACAAGGCTAAATGAATATTATCCCCAATGCCTGCCACCCCAGTCTTAATCAGTGGTGGAAGAACGGTCTCAGAACTGTTTGTGTCAATTGGCCATTTAAGTTTAATAGTAAAAGACTGGTTAATGATAACAATGCATTGTAAAACCTTCAGAAGGAAAGGAGAATGTTTTGTGGACCATTTGTTTGTGTGTGTGTGTGTGTGGCAGTTTTAAGTTCTTAGTTTTTAAAATCAGTACTTTTTAATGGAAACAACTTGACCAAAAATCTGTCACAGAATTTTGAGACCCATTAAAACAAAAGTTTAATGAGAAAAACAAAACAAAACAAAAAACATAGAGTTGTCCTACCTCCTAATAAAATAAAAATAAAAATATTCATAGCTATGTGTTATCACTTTTCATTTATTTCATTAAGCAAAAATATAATACCTAACGCTAACAAGAGTTCAATGAAACTGACATTCTCACATCTTCTTCATTGTAGTATAAAAATGGGTATAATCATTTTAAAAGTTATCTAACAATATAGTTGAAAATCTAAGTTGTTCTTACTCTTTGAAGCAGTACTTACATCTTTATGACTATAACTTAAGGATATTATCTAGAATATATACAAAACACTGTAAATATCCAAAGATTTTTTTATTACAGACTTATTTGTAAAAGTGAAAAAATTACAAAGAGCCTAAATATGTAATGGAATATTGCTCTCATTCACAAAGTTCCTTGGAACACTGGTCCAAAAGCTTTGTGATAAAAGGATTTGGAGGCCAAATAAATTAGGAAAGTCCTGCATGCTATGTTCTTCATTTGTAAAGTTACAATTAGAATCTATACATTCAAGTTTCTAAGATATCTCTCAAGCAGGAAATAAATATGCTTAACTTTTTTTAACCCAGATTTTCTAAACTAATTTGTCCTTAGATATCCTATTTCCCATGTAATAACTGTTAACATCTTAAATATGAATTTTAGGAAAGGCGGTGTTAGAATAATTACATTAAGATTTTAATGTTTTTCTCTATTTCAAAATTGGTGTGATTGTGATACTTTATAATAGAAAAATACATAAAAATGGCTAAGCCCAAATTGCTGTTTTAAATAAGGTCATAATCTATTGGAGAGAGAAAGCCATTTCTGATTAATAAAGGCTCTTTGTGAAAGGGTTATGCTAGCCTTATGAATGAACTTCTAAGTGAGCAAAGTGATAGGAAAATTAATTCTGCCTGGAGGGGAAATGTTGGAAGAAGGCATTAAGTAAATAAAGGACTTCCTCAAAGTGGTTGAGATATAGAATATCCATAAAAAAGTATTAATTTTCTAAGAATTAAAATTTATGTTAACTAATAATTTCTTATGAATGTAGAGTGATATAAACAGTCCTGACTTATCTGATATTAAACCCTCTCCAGATATATGGAAATATGAACTATAGAGTCATGGTGGAAAAACTTGGGTTTTGGTTTTAAATGGACCTGCATCTAAAACCCAGATTTGTTTCTTGGCCAGGGTACTTAAGCACTCAGTTATGATTTGTTCATAAAAATGACAAAAGCAGAGTTGTTAAAGGATTAGAGAGAATAGTTAAATCTTTAATCTAGTGCCTGGTTCATTAGAGGTATCCCTAAATGGATATCATTATATCATCAACAACCTTAGTAATACTCTTTAAGCTTCAAGTGACCTAAAACCAAATCAAGTACCTGAGCACGAAAAATAACTTGACACTTATAAATAGGAAGATATTGGGTAACTTAAAGAGTGAAAAAAAAAGTCAAGTAAAGCAGGGCTCAAGTTTGAACACTTCTGCTATAATTCTGTTTCCTTTTCTGCTTCTCATTTCTTCATGACTCTACTGAACTTCAGTATTAGTTACCAATATCTGTGTAATAAATTACTCTAAAACTTCGCAGCATAAAACCATATTTATTACCTCACACATTTTCTGTAGGCTTGGAATTTAAGAGCAGCTTAGCTAGGTGGTTCTGGCTCAGGGTTTCTCATAAGGTTGCAGTCAAGATGTTGGCATGACATCAGTAATGTCTTGAAGGCCTGATGGGGGCTGGAGGATCCACTTACAAGGTGGTTCACACACATGGCTGGGAGCTGGGGCTTGCTCTTGGTGGGAGACCTCAGTTCCTTGCCATAGGTACCTCTTCAAAGGGCTGCTTGAGTGTCCCTAAAATGTGCCAACTGGTTTTCCTGCAAACCAATGGTGTAAGAGTATGCAGGGCAGAAGCCTAATGATCCTAGAACAGGAGTCACACACCATCATTTTTGCACAAGATCATGATTCCATTGGGAACAACCCTGGAATCTGGCCAGCACAGCTTCATTTTCTCAGACTGCAATAGGATTTTGTCACTCAGGGGAAGCAACGGCTGTTAACAGCTAACACTGGACTCACAGCTTGCAGTGTAGAGAAAATAACCCTCTCAGCATTAGAACATAAAATCTCACAGAGGGTCTCTGAATGGCCCACTTTTGGGTCATATGTCCTCTTTTGGAACTAGTCACCATGAGTTGCTAGTCCTGGGTCATTCTCCTAAGCCTGAGGCCAGGGGCAGGGGACTATGGTTGGTGGGGTGGAAAAGGAGAGGAATGAGTGCAGGCTTTTGGGGGTGGCTGGGTAGAAGAAAATTACTTTTTCAACATTATCATCAAATCAAATTCTATACAGGAGAGAATTCTATAAGGGAAGAATCTTGCTTTATAAAGGGATCTAGAAATCACCACTTTTTGAAGAGATTGGCACTTCAGAATGATTCTATAAGTATCAGTAGTAAGATATTTGTTAAATTTTTCTTGTGTTTCTCATAAAGTATAATTCTTAGAAAGCTCGTGTTACTAATGTCAGGGTCATTTTATTCCCCCACTGAAATATTTTAAACTGTGTCTTTTTTTTTTTTAAGATTTTTTTTTTTTTTTTATTTGAGAGAGAGAGAAAGAGAAAGCACAGAGGGAGAATGAGAGGGAGAA